AGCAATAGACCACATATCACTACCCATCCCGCTCGATGCAATGGGCAGCGCGATCCTGATTATCCTGCGCGACGACCGATGCAGTAAGAAATTATTTTTTGTTTGTGATCGTTGGAGCAATGCATACAAGGTTCATGGTAATATTAAAGTTGGATAGCGATTGGACCTATTTTGAGGGAGACGGAAGAAGATGAACCTATGTGTTCAAGTCAGTACACAATCGAACTGTGCATATATGTGATTTCAAGCATCCTGACCTGGTAAGAAATGACAACAAGAATGAGACTGCTGTCGGTTCTCCACCATATCCTTCAATGTCACCAACCAACCAGTTGCTGAGTCTTTCGGGCCTCAAGCTGGAAGGCGGACCACGCCTTGTTACGAGCCGAATTCTCCTTATGCCTGGCAAACAACCGCAAAAAGGCCACCGACAGCGAATACCCACGATACAGTGTCAGAGGTTGTTGCAAATCGGCCTTCGGAGCGGAGCTCTCCGATCGCCTGTCGGTTAAATCACCAATCGAATGACTCAGACACTGGAAACAAATCAAGAAAGCCATGCAAATATCGATGAAAACAACGTCGGGCCCTGTAGCAAGCTCAAAACACGTTGAATCTCGTCGAAATCGGCTGCTCTACTGGACGCCCGCAGAACCCTCCCCCCTCCTGATGCCACGTGGCGCAGCGCGCAAATCCCTCAAACGCCAGTTCATCAAAGGTCTTAGGAATGAACGCGAAAATGGTGGGTAAGGAAGTGTAAAGAGATGGGGAAAGCTGCGGCTATTGGTAATAGTTGTCTAATTAGGAATACGGTCCTTAGGAAAATAGGCGTGAGTGAGGTAATTAAGGAATCCGATGGCACATTGATTCACGATCAGCAACAGACATCATAGTTTAAAGTTGTGTCCTTTTTCGCCATTCCTACTGGAGAACGCACTAAGTGGTCTCTAAAATTTTGTTATTAAATGGACAACTGGAGAAAAGCTGTGCGATTTAGAGTACGCTGATAACACCGTTTGCCTGTTCGAATCTATGGCGGATGCGCAATAAGCTCTTGACAGAATTTCAGGTTGTTTAATTCCATTTGGTTTGTGCTTTGTACCTTCAAAGGGTAAAGTGATGCTGCAAGATTGGATGTCATCCACTCCGGCTCCGATGCTTGATGATCATGAATTGACTGTAGTAGAATGTTTGTCCTACTTAGGTAGTTGCGTGACAAATGAGGGTAGCACAGTCAATGAAATAACCGCTCGCATTTCCACGGCAAGAGCAGCTTACGTAGGACAGAAACATCTCTGGTGCAGATGTGGTCTCTTGGAGGAATGAAGGATATGGCGACTAACCGACAACAGTAGCTTTCTTGTCATTTATTATCGGGTCAGAACGCCTGAAACGATAGGTATGCTTAGTTAGATGGTGCACTCCGTGTGTTAACCATAGCGGCTCACTCTCTTTCCCCCTAGTTAGGACCCTATCTGTCTTTTACTTTCTCACCTACTTTGTGTACATTGAGAGCTTTGCTGCGATCAGCGAAATTCACTCTGTATTTCGTTGTACAATGATGCTATTGACGGCGTTAAGGGGATCACATAAACAATGGCGAAGGTAAGTGCAGATTTTGCTAACCTGCGACACATGTGGCACCATCATGACATCTGGCTGTCCCTTAAGGGGCGGATGCACATCGCCTCCGTTCGTAGTTTTCTACTTTATGGTTACGGGGCTTGGAACCTCTGAGAGGAGAATGATGATCGAATTTCTGTATTCAACCACTGATTTCTCCGAAGTATTGCTCGTGTCTGATGGAAACATTGTTTGAGCATTGACGAGGTTATCTCATCGAATCCAGCTCAGTATGCTCCGTTGGTTAGGTCACGTTTTGCGTATGTCTGACGGTCGCCTACCGCAGCGCGCCTTGTTTGCAGTGGCTGTTACATGCTGGAGAAAGCCACGTGGAGGCCAGCAGATGACGTGGAGACGAGGCATAAAGAAATGCACAGAGCCATTAGGTAGAGTAGGTGTCTCGTCTTCCGGGTTGGGGTCCAAAAGACTCCGAAACCGCATGGTTGAAGACAATAAAGGTCATGGCTGCGAACCGACAGCAATGACGATCATGCTGTCACTCCTTATTAGACCAGAATGCTTGAACTAGTATGTATGCACAGTTGGACTGTGTACTCTGTGTGTTGACCATAGAGGTTCGCTTTTTTTCCCGACCCTAAAAATAGGTTCAATCCCCGTCCTCCTTATATATTCTCACTTATCTTGTATGCATTATGAGTTCGGCAGCGATCAGTGAAGTTCGCTTCACTGTATTACGCTGTACAATGATGATGATGATGACGAGGTTCGTCGTCGTGTGTTGGGTATAGATAGTCGTTCTGTGAAAGAAGTAACCGCTCCACACTACCTTCAATGGCTCGGCCATTTTTTGCATATACCTGGCCATCGTATACTTTTTCGCACTGTTTTGCTCGTGCTGGGAAAGACTCGTGAAAACGTCGTGGTGGTCAGACCACGATCTACCATAGAGGAATGGAGACTATTATATTATATTTCACGTCTGAATCCAGACTGTGCCAAGCAAATCATGGTACAATAATCTTTGTGGAAAAGAAAAATTTTCCATAATTTGCATGTGGGCGGAATATTGCCGGGTTGCCCAGGCCGAGGCAGGTGAATTCTCTTAAGGAATCCACAACCGGAGCCCTTGGCCAACCAAAGCCTAACCCGCAAGGCAGCGAGGCGGTGTGTGAAAACCAAAATCCATTGGGGGCCGCTGTTTAGTTCATTGGATCATACACTCTTTGGACGGGATCAAATGTCCGACATACCCATTACATCTTGATGCCCAATCGAGTCGGTGACCTTTGCCACAACCGGAAAGGTGTGTGTGGTTCCCACACCTCTTGGTTTGGAACCAGGGTTTTTGGCCTACGCACCTAGGTGAACTACCAGTGGTTCATCAACCCGGTTATAGTCCCGGATGTGGGCCATTCGTCCTCTCACTTTGGTTGAAAACACCTCCGCCACGAGGAGGTAGTGAGTTGGGATTCCCCAGAAGAGGCTATTCGGAGGAATAGGAGAACTGGCTTCAGCTGTGACTTTGGTTGGTACAGCCCGCCTTCCGTTTTGGGACCCAAGGGATGAGTATTACCGAAGACTAGAGATACTAAGATATATGGCCCAGATAAGAAGTCAGTGGTGCGAATGCTCTGCGGTCTAACTGTTGAAGTCCTGTCCCCCGTAAAAAAATTAATAAAATAACGCACAAAAGTTTCATAAAGTGTACGGTTAAACACAAAAAATCTATTGTTATTCATTGTATCCATTTAATTTTCATTTCTGTGTTATGTCTCCATTTCGTGTTAGTATTTTTTGTGGCGCTGGCACCATTTTTGTCTGCAAGCCGATTAT